GTTCAAACGACCTTTTTATCAATCGTCCGTTTGCAACTTCGTGTTGCAAACGACCGTTTCAACCGTCTGTTTCAAACGACCGTTTGATTGATAACAAACGGGCGGTTGGAAGATACCTCGTTTGCAAAAGAGGTTACCAATCGAATCCATGAGAAATTGCTAGAAGTAACAAATCCAATTCTGGAATTTGAAAAGTGTGTGGCTGAACCGACGTCCATGCCATGTGATCACAAGAGTAAAGATAGATCATACTAGATAGCCGTTTAGGAATATCTAAGATGAAGAACCGTGGCCTCCACGTTCTTTCTTTTTATGTCCTTCCACTTTGGTCTATTCCATCTCTTGGAGTTTTAGTGTAGGTTTTATTGTCATACCTCCTCGAGTCCTTTGAGACGGATCACCCATCACAATCCTGAAAATCCCGTGTCTAAGCTGGTAGCATAATTGCTACCAAAAACACTCCTTTCAAGCTCATTAACCAATGAATCCGAGAGCGAGGGAGTAGAGAGTGTTACCATAGCAACAGGAGGAACAAACGTTGTTGGGGTTGATGGCTACACATGTAGAGGCGAGTGTACTTACAGTAGGTGCAACAATAGGTGTTGCAGCCTATTTTTTGTCTTTCTTCTCCTTCCTTGCTTCCTATGAAGACTAGCTGCTACTAGCTCGTCATTTTTTTTCTTTTTCAACTCGGCTAAGGCAGTCCTAATTTTCTGTCCATCATTTCCGATGTTCTTCAAGTCAAGAGCGGTTTTCTTCAACCTATATAAGAACCAACCATCCGCCATCCTCTTTATCATCTCATCTACTTCCTTTGACGTACGCTTGGCCTTTCGAGTCCAAAGTATCTCCATCTCGGCGTCAAAAATAGTTGCACCGAATGTATCTTCTTTTTTTCGTCTTTTAGTTTTTTAAACACTACTTGAAAAAGGAACATGCTCTTTATTGAAGGTAGAACTTTTATGGCAAGTGAAACCATAATCAAAGTGTTTGAAGAAACAGAGAATTGGTTACTTGCCCAAGAGATCCAAACTGTGTCCCCAGAAGCTCAGGTTATAAATCTCCATCCAAAGGCAATCAAACGGAAGAGGCCTAATCATTGTTGTATTTGGTATGAAATTCATCGTTAACACATGGTTGTATTAAATAAAGATATTTTTGAATATTTCGTTACTAAACTTCACAGCTATTATCATTCTTTGATCGTAGTGATACGATGTGGATGATCAATTTTTAGTTGTATGTAATTATGTATGGTAATGGATCGAGGATCCTCCATAGGACCATGTTCTACTGCCAGTTTCTTTTAAAATGCAATTTGCATGCAATATGTATTTGCCAACATTTGTTTTGTATTTTTCAATTATAAAACCGAATATAATCTGAATTTTTTGACTTCATATTAAGAATATTTTTGCGATAAGTTTTAAACATTCGCTATGGACTTGTTAAAAAACAGTGGACTATTGTTTCAAGTTTTTAATTGAATAATAAAAATAAATAATTCAACTTTGTTTTTCTTTTGTTTGTTAATAATGTATTGCATTACAAATGCACGTTATAACCCTTATCAGTTGGTTTTGTTAATATTTTGCATCACAAATGACAAATCTGGTGGGCCAAGTCGGACCACGTCTCTCTTCAAAAAAAATTTATTCAAAAAATTTCACTCGTCTCTCCTCCTCACTATTTATATATTCCATTTTCCTTCTCTTCTCTTATCAAATCACGAGATCGATTACTTTCCCTGAATTTTTCAGAGTGCAAGAACATCAAGTATTTTCCCGGAAAATTTAATTGCTTCAATCTCCCTAATTTTTCTCGGGAAAATGCGATTACAGTTTTTCCTCTGAATCAGGGAGATTCTTCTATTACCAGCTGTGAATTTCTTCATTTTTCCACTTTCTTAGTTACACTCTTCATTTTTCTCTTGTTATAACCGCCGGGAAAACTTCGGCGTTTCTCTCATTCCGATCTGGTTTCCTTTCCGACTTGAAAAAATGCAAAAGATGAGTTGACTATGGCTTCTTCTCTCACAGACATTTGAGAACCGATTCAACTTCAGAGTTCAAATTTTGAAATCACAAATTCGTCATCGTTTTCCGTTGATTGTTTGTTTTTCCGTCGAGGAGAAAATGCAGAGAGTGAGCTTTGAAGTGTCAGGCTATAACTCCGATGCTGAAATCAGCGGTCCGATGAGTGGTCCGATGAGCGGTCAATTGCCACCGATCTACAAAAAACCAGCGATAAAGAACAATTCCAAATTCACGGCGGAGAACAGCCAGAGAACGCGTCAAGCTCCGCCGTACGTGGACCTGACAGTCGATGTTCAAGACGACAGGGTCTCTGTACACAGCCTCAAATCGGAAGGTGGATCGAGCGTCGAAGAGAACCCAGAGCTCACGCTACTGAAACGGAACCGTCTCGAGAAGAAAACGACGGTGGTGAAGCGTCTAGCGTCTGTTTCTCACGAGCTCAAGCGTCTCACATCGGTCTCCCCTGCTACAAAAAAGCCATCTCGAGGTATGGCTAAGTTAGACCGGACGAAATCAGCAGCGTCTCAAGCTTTGAAAGGACTCAAGTTCATCAGCAAAACCGACGGTGGCGCTGGCTGGTCAGCCGTGGAGAAGCGGTTCAAACAGATCACGGCCACTACTGGTGGACTGTTGGTTCGGAACAAATTCGGTGAATGCATAGGTATGATTCATCTTTGATTAATCGAACAAGGAGTGGAATATTTTCATGATTGGTTCGAATTTGAATCGAATGGAAATTGATAAACATGCAGGGATGAATTCTAAGGAGTTTGCCTTGGAACTGTTCGACGCATTGGCTAGACGAAGGAATATAACAGGAGAAGTGATCGATGGGGATCAACTAAAGGAATTCTGGGAACAAATCAATGACCAAAGCTTCGATTCAAGGCTTAAGACATTCTTTGACATGTACAGATTTCTTTTCCATTTTTTTCGATTTCTCTCTTTCGTAGACTGTGAATCTGAAGCTGAGGATAAATGCAGGGTGGATAAAGATGCAGATGGTAGACTTACAGAAGACGAAGTTAGAGAGGTAAATGCAGACTTGTTTTTTCTTTTTACAAGAAATACTAGTTTTAACTCTGTTTTGGCCTTGTTCTGTTTCCACAGATTATAAGTCTTAGTGCTTCTGCAAACAATCTGAATACAATCCAGAAGAGAGCAGATGAATATGCAGCACTGATCATGGAAGAGTTGGACCCTGACAATATAGGATACATCATGGTAAGTAATTAAGCTGTCTTCTTGACGATATTAAACTCCATGTTATGGCTGGCTTTAAAGTCTAAAGCATTTGCGGTGAATCTTGAAACAGTTGGAGAGTCTCGAGACACTGCTTCTTCAAGCGGCATCACAGTCTGTAATAACAAGTACTGGGGAGAGAAAGAACCTGAGCCATATGATGAGTCAGAGGCTTAAGCCTACATTTAACCGCAACCCATTTAAACGATGGTACCGTGGCCTCAGATTCTTCGTGCTAGACAACTGGCAAAGATGCTGGGTGATAGTTCTCTGGATAATTGTTATGGCCATCCTTTTCACATACAAATACATTCAGTACAGGCGTAGCCTTGTGTATCCAGTGATGGGAGATTGTGTGTGCATGGCCAAAGGTGCAGCAGAAACAGTTAAGCTAAACATGGCTTTGATTCTCTTACCTGTTTGCAGAAACACCATCACATGGCTCAGGAATAAGACCAGGTTGGGTCGTGTTGTCCCATTTGATGACAATCTCAACTTCCACAAGGTAAACAAACCTAACAACTTTTTGGTTTCCAGCAAAATATATGTGGAATTTCTTACAACAAACCAAACCGTGCATAAAACATCAGGTTATAGCGGTGGGGATTATAGCTGGAGTAACAATGCACGCCGGGGCGCATTTAGCGTGCGATTTCCCGCGACTACTAGACGCAACTCCAGAACAATATAGGCCTTTAAGAAAGTTTTTTGGGGATGAACAACCAAAGAGCTACTGGCATTTTGTAAACTCGGTGGAAGGTATAACCGGAGTGGTAATGATTCTGTTAATGGCAATTGCTTTCACACTAGCAACGCCTTGGTTCAGAAGAGGGAAACTTAACTATCTTCCGGGACCATTAAAGAAACTAGCTAGCTTCAATGCCTTCTGGTACACTCATCATTTGTTCGTCATAGTCTACGCTCTTCTTGTTGCTCACGGATACTACTTGTATCTAACCAAAGATTGGCATAACAAAACGGTAATTATATCAATCCTTCCTTCTACTAAATTACAAGCTACATACAAGCTAATATCTAATCATTTTGTTCATGAAAATTGTTGTAGACCTGGATGTATTTGGTGGCACCAGTGATGCTATACGCGTGCGAAAGGTTGATAAGAGCTTTCAGATCGAGCATTAAGGCGGTGACTATTAGGAAAGTAGCAGTTTATCCGGGAAATGTATTGGCAATTCATTTGACAAGGCCTCAAAACTTCAAATACAAGAGCGGTCAATACATGTTTCTTAACTGTGCCGCTGTATCTCCATTCGAATGGTATGAACCGAACCAATATATAACTTCATATTGAAATCGCAAATAAACCGATTACTTAAAGTGTTAATATTACGATTTGATCTGATCCTATGCAGGCATCCATTTTCAATCACCTCTGCACCACAAGATGACTACTTAAGCGTTCACATTAGAGTTCTTGGAGATTGGACACGAGCTCTCAAAGGAGTCTTCTCTGAGGTTTTATCTATATATGTTACTTACTATTAAGTCTCTAATTAACCAATTTTTCCATGAAATTAAAAGAGTTTGGTATTTATAATTTGTGTGTTGTATCAGGTCTGTAAGCCACCACCGGCAGGAGTAAGTGGTCTGCTCAGAGCCGACATGTTGCACGGTGCAAATAATCCCGAGTAAGTGAAAAATCGTAACCACTATATCTTGAATTTAATTCGACACGTTAATGACTAAATCGTGCTAAGAAAAAGGGTGAATGATGATGAATCGTGATATCCACTTACAAAAAGCATTTTGTTGGGTATTTTGGTATAAGGGTAACGAATTCAAACAAGCTACCTAATCCATTCATTATAGGAAATGGTGGGAGACCACAACTAAATCAAAAAACTGTGTACCTAACCACTTATCACTATTTATTTTTGTAATTGAGACGCATTATTTGGTGTATCATGCAAGCACGATGTTTTTGCTTCTCCATGTGTTTTTGTGACCGCGTAAATCTTGGGTTCTTCAGCTTGCAATATCTTTTTTAAAAAAATTTCCTTTAAAAAATAAAATGCAATTTGATTGGATAATTGAGGGTGCTAGGTCAAATTCTACTTGATTTTTTTTTTTTGTTTTGATGTCAACATTCAATGTTTTATTATAAAATATTTTTGTATCATGTCAATTATATTGCCTAGTGGTTTATTTACTTTATCAACTCTTTTTCCCCCTAAATAATACTAATCTATATATACATATATTTTTAATAGATGCTGACTTTTGTTTTTCTTGTCAACGAATAGATGCTGACTTTTAAATGGTCTTCGTAGTTTCCTATCTGGGGCTTTGGGGCATATCACATGTAGATATCTAGGTTGCATGGAAATTCTATCCATCCTAGGTGTGTTTCCCTTTTTGGAAACCAAAATTTTTAGAAACATCATGGAAACGCGTTTTCTAAAATATTTTAATTTGGAAACTCGATGGAAACTTTAATTCCATTTTGGAAACGCTATCGTTTCCTATAAATCTCAAATTGGAAATACGATGAAAATATTCGTTTACATTTTGGAAATGCGATCAAAATTTGTTTCTTACGTAATAATTAAATAGTTTGAAAATATAGGGATATATTTAGTAATTTTATAGGTTAAAAACAACAAAATTATGAAAGATTGTGTTTGTATATAYGTTAAAAACAACAAAATTATTATACTTTTTGTTTTTGTTAAGTTATTTAATATTTATGTATATAATTTGTATTGTTTAAATTGTTTTAAATATTGTTTTTGAAGTTGTATATATATAGATATATGTTTATGTGTGCGCGTTTCCAAAACGTACCTGTTTCCTAAATTTTTTTAAAAAATCGTTTCCACGTTTCCAAA